GCCGTCGAGTCGTTTCCGACTCATAGCGACCCCATGCACAGCAGAACGAAACACTGCCCGATCCTGCGCCAGCCCCACAATCCCCGCTATACTTGAGCACATCATCGCAGCCACCGTGTCAATCCATTTTGTTGAAGGCCTCCCCCTCTTTCGTCAACCCTCCACCCTACCAAGCATGACATCCTTCTCCAAGGAATGGTCCCTTCTGACAACATGACCAAATTAGGTGAGATGAAGTCTGGCCATTCTTGCTTCCAAGGAGCATTTCAGGTGCACTTCCTCCAGGACAGATCTATGCTCATACATATATTCACATGTATACATGCATACACACACTTGTTCACAATTATACAGGCACACACTCAAGACTCATATCCTCTCATTCAGACTCACATAAATTCAAGATCACATTTACTTACACACTCTACTGCACATTTTCACATATGCACACTCACATACATGCAGCCACACCCACACATGTTCATACACAATTACATTCTCACACATTTACATCACATATATAGAGATACACACTCGCATATTCCAAACTCATATATACTCATACACTCACATTCTCATGTATGCACACTCACATACATACACATTTACACACTCATATAGCATACTCACACCATTCACACTCACAATACTCAGATACATGCTCACATACACACATTCATACACATACATGCATTTATGTGCATTCACAACCATACACACATATACTTACTCACACATATACATATTCACATACACACTCACATGCACATATGTACATTCACACATTCTCATGTATGTACTGTCACATACATACAGGCCCACTCACACGTTTACAGATTCACTCTCATACTCACATATATTCACACACATTCTCACACATGCATGTCCACATACATACACATTCATACATTCATATATGCATACTCACAAACATGCCAAAATATACACAAAGATGAGGGCCCAGTCCCTCCACAGATATGTGCTGTACTCTCTGTTTTAAGTGACTGTTCCTGAGTCAAGTTCTGCCTTGCATTCTTCATCTGCAGAAGGAGGGGTTTGAATTAGATGAGTTTTCTCACCTAAAAGGTCTTTCTCATCTTAGGTCTAAGTTCCCAGATCCTCTGTGTATATAACCTCACCAAGGTTCAGCAAACTCCATGACAAGATCAACATCTGCCATTACTCCATGGACCTGGAACATGTACCTCACAAGAGCTGTCTGTGATGTGGAGGTGTTCCTGAGGGACAGACATGCATAGCTGTTGTGGGACTCAAGACACTGGTCTGAGCTGGAATAGCAAACAGCCTCTCTAGCTGCTCACAGCCTATGCTCCCTGACATGGTCCCCAAGTCTTGCTCAACACAATGGTCAAGGCACCACCACTAGCCCAGCTGCAAAGGGTACCATTTGCACTCTTGCTTTTTCTGGTCCAAGGCTCAGAGCAATAGGGAGGATGGGACAGAGGCAGAAACAGTACCTGAGGGGACTGAACTGGTAGACATGGCTTTGGATCAGGGGGCACTTGATGTTCACGACAGGGACAGGGACAGCTGTCTCAGCTCTATGAAAGGAAAGAGAAGCTGGAGGTGGTGGGATCAGTAGATAACTTCATCTCTAATAGGTCAGTATTATTTCCAGGAAAGTAATCATCCACACATGCAGAACAGGAAGGAGTTTATAAAATTGTAAAACATCTGGATTTGAAAAGGATCCAAGTCAACTGGTTCAGCTTTGGCCCAATCCAAGCAGCCTCTCTGACAACTGTGGTTCTGGAAAACAGTGCTTCTTATGGTGTACGGGAGGAACTATTGCAGGTCCAGAATGCTTATTGAAAATGCAGAGTCCCAGCCTCGCCCAAACTTACTGATAGTGTTAAAGATGAGCTCCCCAGAACTCCCTCCAACATGAATCTGAAGGACACAGACTAAGTCCATCCAAATACCAGAGGGCATCATCTTGGGTGACAGCACTTCTGCAAGCCATTGGCTATGTCAGAAAATTCTTCCTTAGGCTTCACTGGAGCTACCACATGCCCCCGTGGGGCAGAGTCCTCCCTCAGGAACTAGCCACTAAATCACAGCACTCCTGCAAATGATAGCCCTTCAAACTCTTCTGGAGGGTTCAGGGCAAGAGGTCCTTCCCCATTTTTTCATTACAGTTGTTCTTCATCATCCATCACCGCATTCAATTCTTATCTGTCTCTCTCTGTCTCATTCTCACACCTCTCCTTTTCTTTTTCTCTCTCCACCTTCTCTCTGTGTGTCTCTCTCTGTGTTAGTTTCTGTCGTGCTCTCTCCTCTCGCTTAATCCTCTCTTTCTCTCTCTGTGTCACACATGCACACATACACACAAGCAACTTTTTATATTTGTCTTGTTTTCTTTGCAAATGACAAACATTTTGAAATCATAGCATACATGACCTTCCACATTTTCCACTTTGGACCCATGCCCTCCTGCTGTGGATAGGATGGAAAGTGAGAATTCAGTACAGTCCCTAAGCCCTAAAGGAGAAGACTGGGAGATGAAGAGGAGCAGGGAAACTTCCAGACGAGGTATCAAGTGACCAGGGAGCTAGCTGCTGAATAGGTCTGCAAGGCCCAGGATTCTGTTATGGCAAAGGTGTGCAAAAGAAGAAGTCTGA